CCCCCCCGCAGCCACGACGACGGGGTGGGGGTGGGGGTCTTCAAGCCCCGCAAGTCCCGCGTGGTCCCTGTCTGCAAGCGGCGCTCTCCAAAATGTGCCAAAAGCCTTGCGCGCGGGCGCTGCCTCTCCCCCGCCCGGGGCAGCTGTTCCCATTTTGTTCCCGCCTCCCCTCCCCTCCCCCCAGTCCCTCGTAGTCCTTTAACGCCTGCCGCTGACTGCATCCCCGCTGCCCTTAATGTAGGATGGGCACTTCTCTTCAGCCTCCAAATGAGAAGTGACATCTGCACTCGGCCCAGCCAACGCGCGAGCAGGACGCGGGGGCACAGGCCCATTGACCGAGCGCGGCCGAGGGGCCGGCCGGCTCGGCGGCATCCGAAGCCGCCTTAATTAATACCATCTTAAATAGTCCAGCAGCCACCGAAGACAAAGTTGAAAAAAGACTTTAAGGCTGAGTGCCCCTCGACAAGCTCTTTTTCCCGTGTCATTCAATATTTAATGCGCCCGCTTGTAATGCTACTACTGGTGTTCCTTTCTCAGCAAGGACATTATTTTTTCACGGTGCCCATGGCCAGGGAAAGCCCTTTAGGCAAAGAAAATCAAAATGTTTGTTGTTTTGGATGACTTATAACTCTTGTTTAACACAAGCACTTTCAGGAAAGTATAACAGGCACAGCCTCCAAAGCAAACAACACAATCCTCGTGACAGAGTCGGACACAAAAAGCACATTGTCTTGCGGACTACCCCTTTTCTCTGGTGCTAGATGGGGGCCTGTCTCCGAGTGAACACCACGATGCCATTTCACTTTTGAACTATTGTTTTTGAGTTATGCCATGTGGTCAAAAGGAGCGAGAAGGGGGTTGTTTCCAGCCTCATAAGACAAACGAGTTGCCTTTTCAATGAAATCCCCCCGCGATCCTTGAAAACGGAGTTTAAATGTCACCTCCGCCTTTCTAATGGGCACAGGGCTGGAGGCGACCCTTCAAAGCGCCTCGGTGATAAACGACCCTTATTAAATATGGCCAGGACTGCTGGGAACCGCCAGCGCCCGGCCCGCGCGCCCAGGAGCGCCCCTCGCTGGAGGGCCCTGGAGGAGCCGGGGGACCGGGCGGCCG